GCTAATACCCGCAATGCATTTATCATTTGCACTGCTTTCGCTTTTTTGTCTGCCTGAGGAGTGGCACTAGGGCAGAACTCTTCCGCTGTGCCGCCCTTAGTTGGTATTAGGGGACAGGTAGGGAACAAGGAAGCGTGTGTCTCATAATGTAGGGTGAATATAGCGGGCGCCGGTACACGTAAACACTTTCAGTTACACTTGTTAGGTCTAGCTAACAATCAGGAGGCAATCGACTAATGCGTACATCTTTTTGTTTCTGTGTCGCCTTAGCTCGATACAGCGAAACCTAGTGTTGGATTAGTACAAGCGAAGTGCTACGTGGAACTACCTGTGAAGGCGTGGAATTTTTACTAGGTGCAGCACTGCACACATTAGTGGGCCTTACTCCGTCGTAGTGGAAGCCTTGGGGCCGACCACAGGGGAAGGATTGAGCGCTTTTGGAAGAACGTTCAGTGACTTTCGATGAAGTTTGCACTTAGTTCAGAGTAAGCTGTCTCTTTACGGAGACCTTAGATACGGTGTTCCAAAACAAAGCCAGTGAACAGAGCTCATTGAAGGAAACTTTACCCAGTGCAGCTTGGCCCACCACTGTACTGCAGCATCTGTTCTCATATTCCATTGACTGCAGCATAGGGCGACACCCATACCATGACTATTATAGCCTACTTAGTCCCCATTATTTTCTTTGTTCCACTCCTTAACGGAGACAAATGTAAGTATGCTATGTGTATTTCCATATGTTCCCATAGCGCCTGACATTGGTTTCTTCCACCGGTGATGTGGAGAAAGAATCTCTAAACTCGCAATGGGTTACGGAGAAACGGCTGTTCAGGAGTTATAAGTAACTAAGAAGTTACCATTTGTTGACATTAATCGGCTGCCACAACTAAATGGGGCGAAATAGCCTCTGTCCACCGCAATCAATTCATATTTGCGAAATCGCCCTTCTCCAAATTGCAGGTGCTGAGCGTGCCAAACTCTGATTCTTGTTACCTGCTGCCAGTGTATGGACCCCGCACTCCAGAAAACTTGTAGATGCTTACTCCCCCTTTGGTTGTACACGCTATTGGGAAACATCGAAACCCTTACAGTACACCTGCGCTGTAACTCCCGTTTTAAAACACCTCAAGTGTTTGTAGTGCGCGTACTTACGCCAACTACTTTTGTGCATCACGTAGACACTTTGGTAATGCACGTGACTTTGTATTCAATGCAATGACAACGAAAGTGTTTCCCCCCAACAGCAAGTCTTCCCGATTTTCAATGCCAGGTTTGGGGACCCTCGGGAGCATCACGGAATCCCGTGGGCTTCATCCCCCTTCTTCGTGCCCATCTGTACCTACAAGATCCAGAAATGAGGCAGGGAATGAGGTAGTGTGACTGGCATGCCCAGCCGCTATAGCCGCAAAGATAGTAGACCTAAAAAGCAAGGGTATCTTCGGCTCTTCGCTGCCTGCCGTTCCAAAGCCTTCAACCCTTAAAACTCACAATCCCCCGCTGTTTTCCACAGCCCTGTGCAGCTAGATGGTCTGCTGTCTGTCGGCACAAACAATCTGGTGGGAAACGGCACGAGCAACAAGAAAAGCTACAGTCACTTCTGTAATCCCTGCACTGTTCTACGATGCTGCAGCAACGGCAGCGCCCTGTGCTATCGTAAAGAATTTAAAGTTCGTCCTTTGGATGTTGTTGTGTCTCCTCGCCTGTGCCTGACGTCTCTGCCTTTTCTCCCTCGGTAGTCTTCGTCTCTTCAGCCTCTGGTTTGCGCTCTGCCGGCATCCCTTCCCCTTGTTCCTCCTTGGCGGGCGCTGGGGTCGTGGTAGTGGTTGTCGTTGGCTTAGGGATGGCTTCCAGCGCCTTTATCTTCTTTTGGAGATCTTTGAGCTTTAAAAGGACTTCTGCTTCTGTGAAGACTGGCGGCAGCAACAACGATTGGTCGGCCTGTTTCTGCTTCGCCTCTTCCCACCACTGCAAGAGCTCGTTGCGCAGTGTTCGAACACCTGAGATCTTGGCCTCCGGTATCCAGGGCCTGGTGGAAGCATACTGTTCAAGTCTTTGCTCCACATCCTGCAGCAATTTATCAGCTTTATTGATCAGGGCAGGACGCGCCTCTGCCTCCTTTGCCCGCATGTACACAGGATTTAATGTCTCCCTGAGGTCACTGAGCCGCTCTTGCACTGCCTTCAGACCATCTGCTGCTGCCTCGCCATAAATCCACTCTTCGACTTGCTTAATTTTTTCAAGCATATCCTGCTTGAAGATCTCATTTGTCACGCGATCTAACGACCCATCAAGTAACTGCCCCCTGGCCGAGTAGATATATGTCTCTAAGGCGTTAAGTCCCTCTATCAGTTGCTTTGCAGCCAAGTTGCGCGCCTCCTGCTGCAGCAACAACTCCTTCAGTTGTGCCTTCTCCTCAGCAGTTAGAGGGACAGGCGCTGTTTCCTCACTCTTGTAAGACAGAGGATAGCGGAATGTATGCACCACACGCTTTCCCTTATTGGTCGCATCGTTGCCACTGTTGGAGTCGCTCTTGGTGTTGGCTTTAGAAGCACATGCAGGGTCGTTGGGGTCCTCGCATTTCTTTTCTGCCTCAGTTGATTCTGCATGAGAATCTGATGCTGTCCCTTCTGCTTGCTCCGGCGTTGCAACGGGTGTTTCCTTTTGTGGCTCGGGGGTGTACGTAGTTCTCTCGAAGACAAGAGTGGCTTTTGTAAGCTCAATGACTCCTGCTGAGTCAATGGAGAACACCAGCTCTGCCTTGGGAGCTTCCTTATCGTCTTCTATCCGCTGCTGCTGCTCTTGTTCTTGCTGCTGCTGCTTCTCCTTGTCGATATCCTGCTGCCGCTGTTGGTGCGCTGCCAGCACACCAGTGATGCTATGGGTGCTGAGCAGCTTCTCGTCCTCGAGCAGCTGGACTACGAAGTCACTCCTAGTTCTCACCGAGACCCTCTTGCTGCCCGCTAGCCTCTTGAAAGGCGCAACTAGCACTTTCACCTTGCTGCCCCCATCCTGCTGCTGCGAGGTTTCATCTAGCTGCTGTGAGGCTTGATCTTGCTGCTGTTGGGCCTCATCTTCATCCTGTAAGCCGAGGAAGCGGAGAGAGTACGTATAGGGAGCTCCGTCTTGTAAGAGCAGCTTCCGAACTCGAAACGTTGCAGTACTATTTGCCGCAACAAAGGCAGCACCTGTTGCCATCGCCTCATCTCCATTGAGATGCGTCTTTGTTTTGCCTTTTCCTGCCCATTCGTTGATGTGCTTCAAAAAGCGGGGAACACGCAATCCACCTCCCAATAGCTCCACCTCCTCAATTTCCTCTAAAGTATGCTCTGCCGAGGCAAGGGCCCCCTCTGGAACTGCCTGCAGGTGGCGAAGCAGTTCACTCTGTTCTATTTGTGTCTCAAGAGAGTCTCGGGTCAGCTCCTCTTCCAGATTCTTGCCCTTGTACAAACGTTCCACCCTCACAAATGTCGTTTTGCTGGCACTCAACACCGTCTTGGTCGCGGCTGCCTGCTTCTCTAACTTTTTCAGTGCTCGTGATTCTCCCGAAAGCGGCATGCCCTTGTTTTTTCCCTCAAACATCCTGCACAGAAAAGTCGACCACCCAAACACGCATACGAAGTTTGAGGCCCAAAGGATACACAATGAGGCCTCGCTTGGAGAGCCAGCTTCAACACAACCCCCAAATGCAGCGATCCAAAATTGAACGGAAGACGACACCAACAACCGAACACGAAGGCTCATTCGAGTGCGAAGAAGACACTAGGCACTAACACTGTGCGCTGATTTCCTTACTGCCTGAGCATTTCAGCAACAAGCACATCGACAGCTCGCCCTCCTCCTCCTGCAGTGCTGCTGCAGCCCGCAAGAGTTACGAGAGGCACCGCCTCCTGCTTGCTGTTGGCGTTGGGAAAGACGGCCTGGAAGGAGAGCAGTGCTGCGTCAACAGAGCTGCTGCCCACGTTGAGGGTAAGCTTCGTTTCCGCCTTTGCTGCCGATCCCGCAGCCGCTGCTGCAACTGCTGCAGCTGTTGCTCTGTCATACGTGTCTAGGGCGTGCTGCACCCCAGCCGCGGCGCCATGGGAGACAAAACCTACAACTTTAAACCCCGCGATTTCCAGACTGTCTCTCAAAGCTGCCCGTTGCCTTTGAGTGTACCGGCAGGGTACGGAGACCACAGCCCCCAGCACTACTGCAGGCGGAAGGTGGGCAGCTGCAGCTGCTGTTTGTCTTATATAGGACAAAACTGCAGCAATGAGAGACTCAGGTGGCAGCAGCAAATCATCTCTGACCTTAAAAAGCAACCCTCCCTTCGTGGGGGATGCATACACTTCCCATGGATTGTAAGCGGCGGAGATGCCCCCAGGCCAGTACCCCTCTTTCGGAGTTACACGCTGCAATCCCTTGCTGCTGGTACAAATGCCATTGATACAGCTTGTTTCAAGTGCAGTATCAGAGGAGTCTCCCTCTTCAATAACAAGGTCTCCTACCTCCTGAGCAGAGAGCCCCAAGAAGAGCGATGGGCCCTGAAAAACTCGCTTAGGATTCTTGTGAGCCTCAGCTATCGCATCCTCTGAAAGTGCGCATGTGTCTTTCTCGACGAAGGAGATGGCATTTGGGAACTTCCTACTGCTGGTATTGCTCAGCACCAGATCTATACGCTTGCCAGGAGCTACTACTGCCGCCTTGATGAACTCAGATCCTACGTCGATACCCAACACCTGCGCGTCTGCTGTTTGTTGCTGCTGCAGCAGTGGCAACAGCAGCGCCACTACTAAGCCACAGAGGGACGGCAGCACCAAGCGCCGTCGAAAGAGACGCTGAGACACAAACATTTTCTAGCTGAAGGCCGTTGTGGCTGCTGCTTTGTGGGCGGATGCCGCTGCTGCCACACTGCAACAGCAAGTATCCGAGCAGCTGAATTTCAAGGGAAAAGGACGAAAGACGCAAACGCCGTTTAAAACCAAGCGAGACGCCTCAGCAGTGCAAGGAGCACAAATGAGATGTACAGCACCAGAAGATGTCAGAGACGTGAGTTTATGTTTGGGGGCCGAGGAGCCCAGACACCCCAGTATGAGAAAGTAAGTGCAGAGAAATGACACGTAATGTCTACAAATATACAGGAAGCCGTAAAAACCTCAAAGACAGCAGTCGCCGCCAGAAATGCCCATGGACTCTGGCTGCTGCGATGGCGCATGCAGGAGCATCTGAACTTCCAAGTGCCGCAGCTGCTCCTGCTGACCCCGCTTTTAATTGAAATTTTTACTTGTTTAGCCGACCTTTCGTTTATTTCGTGGCCATAAGGGGGACGCCTAGTCTACGGTAAAGGTTTTGTGTCGGCGGTATTTTGTACTCCTAGCCCTCTAACCAAACTCCAGAATCTGTGAGCCTAAAGCCATCGCCCTAGCTGCACCCGATTCTTTTGTCCCATTCGCCTTCTATGTTCTGAGTGCTAGTTCCATTTGGGATTCGGGAAAATCCCAAGCCCTTATTCTCGAACAGTGAGACAAGCGCTAGGCAGAGACCAGGAAACTATGCGGAGAAATGAGAACTCTGAAGTGACCCCCTACCCGGTCCGTCGTGTCATTTCATAGCCATGGGGTCCATATCCATAGCAGTGACAGCACCCTTAGCAGCCACACCTCCAGTTACAACAGCCTTACCCTCCATATTTCAGCGGCGGCGCAAGCGTCAGGGATACCAGTAGGAAGCCGAATGGAGGGGATGAAGCGCGTAGCCCACTTGGCTGCACACTCCGGCCCCGCGTGGCAATGCGACTTTAGCAGTCGAGGAATTGTCGCGTCATGTGGAGCAGACGGCCTCATACAACTCTGGGGAGGTAAGAAGCCGGGAACTCTCACCCGTGAACCGCACACTCCATAGGAGACGTTGGGCTTTGGAGTTGCCTCCACGGAAAAGTTTCCATGAAACGGTCCAAATAGGCCTGTAGCTTCCATGCGCACAGGACAGGGTTTCTGCCGTTTTGGCTTGTGCCTGCTGGTGTTAACTTCCTCAAGGGCGTGTTTCCTTTCGCCGGTTCTTTCTTGATCTGAACGCGTTTCTCCCGTGATTCCTGGCTTCTGCTGCGTTCTATCTACACAGTTTCTCTTTCTCTCTGTGTGGCTTCGACTCTTGCGTGGTCTCTGGCTTATCCCCTGACGCCCATTTTCTGCTTCCGTTCGCCTTGTGCGTGCAGCCCCTAATGGCTCCTCTTCTTGGAGTTGCCTGGTGAGTCGCCCGGTCTTTAGGCCTACGATCTAGAGCTGGTGCATGCAGCAGGTTTGACAGGACAAAACGCATACGACTCAGTGTTTTTGGCACTGCGCTATAATTCGAATCTCGAGCCTACAGCTTTCGAGTTGCGGCTTGACGGTTTTGCGTGTAGGGAACAGCCGGTCAGGATGCACACAGCCGCGCGATTCGTACGGTTGCATGGACACCCGATGGAGCCTTCCTAGCTGCGGGGTCCTTTGACTCTACAGCCACCGTCTGGCAGGTAAAACAGCGGCCGCAACGGCAACTCCAGCAGGAAGAAAGCTCGAAGGATAACCTAGTTGAGACAGAGGAGCACGATCGACGGCAAGATGCCCCTAAAAGCTCCAGAGTTCATATGGGCCTTCTTCAGACACTGGTCGGACACGAGCACGAGGTTCGTCCAGGGAGTGCAGCGCTTTGGGTGGAATCGGCCTTTAATTAAGAGATTCAGCCTTTCTCGGAGCTCCTGTGCTGTCGTGACCGCTTGCCCCATCAACCACTTTGAGGTGTACGTGCAGCCGCGGTTCGGCCCCGGGGCTGCGAGGTTCTTGGTTTGTGCGCAGGTGAAAGGAGTGGCGTGGAACTGCACAGGATCTTTCTTGGCAACTTGCAGCAGAGACAAAAGCATTTGGATATACAAGCGGTCTGGGCTAGAGGATTGGGGTGAACATGCAACTGACGGCCCCCGGAAGCAACACTCTACAGACGATGACGGGGAGTTCGTGGTTGCATCGGTTCTCACTGGCCACTCGCAAGGTGGGGACCCTTGGAATCTTCGTGTTGAACGTGTGAGGTGGAGGGTTGATGGATTACGGTTTAGGACGGTGGGCATTGGGTGTGTGCAGACGTCAAGGCCGTTCGGTGGCATCCCCGTAGGGACTGGCTAGCTTCAGCCTCATATGACGATACCATAGCCATTTGGGGTGTAGGAGGTGACGATTGGTAAGGCCGAAATCGCATACTTGAGAGTCCAAACCTGGAGACCCTTTGGGTTCTCTAGGAATTCGGTCGGTGCAAGTGGAGCTTCGAGTCTGGAACCCCTTTCCGATGTTGCCCCGAGCATTGTTTGCGCCGTGGACTTCTTGGTGCACTTTACGGTTTATTTGACTGCGCTCTGCTCTTGTTCGATGTGGCGTAGGATTATGCTGAAAACTCTACGCGGACACGCCTCGACTGTATGGTCCGTCGCGTTTGATAGCTTGGGCAGTCGCCTCTTATCCGCATCTGCCGATAGAACTGTTCGGCTCTGGACGTGTAAGCACGCTTCCGCCATCACCCCTAGGCGCTGAGCAGCGGCATAGCGGAGCATGCTTGCACTATCTTTGTGAATGTTGCCGTTTGAAGATTCCGGGGCCAAACTTTGTTCGCAGTGTCCGCGCATCGATTTGAGATCTGCGGTGGTTGGGTGTTATTACTCCCCTCAGGCCTCCCAGCCGACGTTCAGCCATCCCGGCGGTTGCCTACCTTGGCTCAGTGGTATGTGGCACCCTTCTTGCGTCCTTTGGAGGCAGCAGCAGCTGCAGTGGCATCTTCAGCAGAAACAGTTGAGGAAACTGCAAAAACGGCTAGCGATGAAGAGACAGACCTGCTAGCGCTGCAGCAGCCGGAAGCCTGGAGATGCTCAGCGGTTCTGCAGGGCCAGCACCGCGGTGTGGTGTACGCGGTGTCTGTACACCCCGAAAAGAACATTTTTGCTACCGTACGTTTCAGACCATACGCATAGATTTAGGGCACAGATCATGGAAGTCTTGTGTAAGGGGTCATCCGCTGGGAGTTCATGTAGCACACTGAGCTTATTGAGCGCGATTTTCTCAGGCCTGCGGGGACGGATGTATCCGTATCTACGCACTGTCGGAAGCAGGGGCTAGTCTTCTTCACTGCGAGGTAAGCGGCTACCACGGTATGAGCCTGGGGCCAATATCTGGCCCCTTTATTACCGGTTTCACAGGTAGAGCTGTAACTTTGTGGTGCCTTCGCAGGAGAAGGCACACCAGTCGGATGTCAACAGCATTGCTTGGAGCAAAGATGGTGGGGATGGTAAGCACATGGTGTGGTGGCACCTTCGTGTACCCCGAAAAGTCTCTCTGTGTCTTGAGGCCAAATTGTATGCATGGACTCTTCTTTTAAAGCATCGCGATACACTTCAATCTATACCGTAAAGGCGGACGCGCAGGTTCAACTGGATTTGTTTGAATTTCTGCCCATGCGTTCATTTAAGGCATGTACACTCCTTCGCGAGTACCCGCTAAAACGCAAGTTTTTCTGTAACGTGTATATATTTAGAGATAGAGTGAATGTGTATAGATGCAAATTGTGTTCTACTTTTGCAGAGCTGCTTTTGGCCTCTGTGGGAGATGACGGATTTCTGTCGATTTGGCTTCTAGATCTTCCAATTGAGGATTGAATTCAATACCCGAACCTTGGACATGGAAATTCCAACCTAGTTTATGGCATGCATGCTCGCTTCCCCCTACTGGGAAGCATCCGTGCATGTGTGCAGGTGTACATGGCGCCACATCGGCTTGTTTACATGGTCGACGTCCATGCATGATCCTTAGGTCCTTATGAAACCTTGGACATGGAAATTTCAACCTAGTTTATGGCATGCATGCTCGCTTCTCCCTACTGGGAAGCACCCGTGCATGTGTGCAGGTGTACATGGCGCCACATCGGCTTGTTTACATGGTCGACGTCCATGCATGATCCTTAGGTCCTTATGCATACATTTATATATGGTATACTCGCATATGGGCAGGCATGCGCCTATTTGTGAGCTCCCCACAATGCAGACACCTAGACCTCCAACTGCATGTAAAACCCACCACCGAGGCCGCACTCCAAAAGCTTATTTGCTTATTTTGTTTTCTTCGACATACTCCCTTTGCGCCTTCCTCTTTCAAACCCAATCAGGCGCGTTATCGCACTCTGACTTGCATATCAGGACGTTTGTACTGGAATGTTCAGAAGCAAAAGGCAGAACATGCATGTGTATAAGAGTAACAAGCGTGTACAGCAACTCCTCCCTATAGTTGCGTAGTATCTAATCATTTGTACTCATATTTAGCGGTGTATGCCTTTCAGTATTTACGAATGTGTACATCTGTACATACGGGTGTAACGAAATCGCATTTTATGAGAGTAACTGCACCTCTGTGCATACAGATGTCTACCGATGCATATACACATATACTTAAATATATCTACAGTTGCGGACGTGTGTAAAAAACTTTTTAAAATATGCATACGCATATCTGCCTCCCCTTTGTGTGCATCCGCAAACTAGTTCATGCAGTGGCATACTGCTAGACTCCACTGTATTCCCGCCTACGAATCACCCAAATCCGTACGCTACCACGAACGCAGTTTTGTTCGCCTTGTCTCATACGCATTAAGGTGCACGGTTGGTCCCTGTGCTCTTCGTACGCATAATTCTATACGTATATGTTGGCCGACCAGCAGCAGAGACAACGCAGCGAACACACTGCATTGGGCATGCGTGCTTCACAATTGCACTCCCTATGTACATCAACGCTCGCACTCGGCAGGCAGGCGAGGCGTATCCTCATTTGTTCAGGGTTGGAAATTTTGTGCACCCAGCTGGAGTTGCACGGTTTAGCATGTACACTTAGGGTAAGGGGCTCTGGGGAGCACTGGGTCTATTGCCCATATATTTGCATCTTTCCGCTGCAGTGACTTATACATGAGTTGTTATGCAATGAGGCACACTCAAATTATTAAGTGGTCGCATTTTTTCTCACTGCAGAAGCACGCAAGTGTGGACCGTGCCCTTACGGGGAGCGAGCATACTTCTCCATAGCAATACGCTTCCCGTTGTGTTGGTGATGCACTTAGGGCATGATTATGTACATCCACTTTATTTGTATCAATGTCTTCCGGCCCCCATGGACTTCCCTTTCACTCGAAGAAAGCCTTTGATAGCAACGCAGCAGCCTGCATCATCCAGGTTCGCAGGCGGCATATCGGCACCCTTCGCACTACGGTCGTTCAGTTGGGGTATTTATTTAAGAGGCAAAATTTAATTTAACAAAGCCATGACAGCGCGTTGCTGCTCGGTGTGACGCTTCATTTGACTTCTTCGGAGGTTCAAGCTTAGCTTCACACTCATTACACGTCTACTACAAAGCTAATAAGTGCTTTTAGAGAGTCCCCTCCTGCCTGTGTCCGGCATCCCACCATGAGGGCAGAGGGGCAGCTGCAGCGCGCGCGGCTGCACCCTGTAGGGACTCCAAACATTCACAGCTAGCAGTACACAGCATCTAGCGCACACGCAAACAGTGTCACGCCTTCTTGTATCGATCCAACAGTATCCTGCAAGAATCTGGGTCTACGAGCATAGAGACCTATTGGTCTATTCGTTACTAATTCCTATAAATAGGATAGCCATACTTAAAAGCTTTCAAGCATAGCTCAAGCAGCTATATTCTTCCCCTAGTCTTAAGCACACGCTTTCGTGCTCCTGAACCGTCCTAAAATGAAGTACGCAAAGGGCATTTGAAAAGTTCCGTCCCATCAACAGTTTCCAGGCAGGTAAAACGCGAAAATAGTGCGAATAAGAAAGCATCGTGTGCATCAACTGCTAAAGCAAAATCGAATTGAAAAACGACAGAATCACCAGCTAAAAAGGGACATTTGACAAAGTCAGCGAGACCCCGGCGGCACGATGGCTCGATGGCTTTGGACCGTTGACTCGTCATAAAAGAAAACAGACGAATAGCAACATATGCAGAGGCAATCCAGGTGCAGCTTAGTACAACAGTACTTCCGAACAGCATAGAGCAATCGCTGCATGCAAATACAGCCGCTACATTCAGCGTAGTCAAATTCAAAGTCTTAAAATAGAATAAAGAAGACTGTAGAGACAATACACATGAGGGTACCTGTGCACATAGCTGAGTCTAGAGAAGACCACAACAATAATAGCCAGGAACTGTTCAAGCAATACCCGTAGGCGACTTTCCGCTTACCAAGCGGATGCTCTACTAACTACGCTAAGGCTCGACGACGCCAATGCCCTCTTAGCTCGATCGGTAGAGCATACGCTCAGTGAGTGGAGCGTTGCCGATTTGAATCTTGCAGGGGGCTACCCTAGAGGAAGGTTGTAAGCTTAGGCACAGTATGCGCCGGAGAGTGGCAAGTACAAAGCACCACGAGGACGCTTGCCTATGGAGACTAGCCCTAAAAACCAAAAGAGCCGCAAATGGTCCCGCAGGCAAAGAATCGCACAACTGTTCCTCCATGAACCGCTGAGGTTGACGTCTTCCATCAGGTTTGCTTACAACCCCCTTTGTGCTTCCTCGGTAATCAGTAGTAGTAG